ATTGCAAAATCGTTTTTCAATTCCTACTATTTTTTAATTCACTTTCTCCCTATATATATATATATCTTGCTCAAATTTTCAATCTTTAATAAAATACTCTCAATTCATCCATCAAAGTTCAAATACATTTTTTAAACTTGTAGCGGATGACACTTGATGTGTGTGTGTGTTAATACAGTTTTTTCCAATATTAATTCATTAATTAAATTAAAAAAGGAATAAGGTTACAAGCACAAATAATAGTCGCACAGCATATATAGAAAAAAAATCGTTCGCAAAAAATCCCTGCAGCGCAATGGATAGCGCGTTCTAATCCAAAGGTCATGGTTTCGAATCCCACCTGAAATGGCCTAATTTCTGAGAATGCAATTTCATTTTACTGTACAATTTTATTGGAATAATTGTTGTGTTGTCGTGTGTTTATTACTGGGATACATACGAAAGACGTGAGATAGATGAACAGAAATATATAACACAACCACAGAAAAATACAGATTTTATTACAAACGATGATCCCAGCATATAACGAGAGCGAAAGATCGACTTCTTTCCGGAAGAAGATACAACCAAGTCTTACTCGGGATATTATTGAATAATTACATTTATCAATGAAAAATAATAGTAACAAAAAAATTAAAAACACAAAAAATGGTTCAATACTCATATATAGAAAGAAAAATAGAAAATCGCTTTATTTTGTCCCTTAATAGTGATTCTGAGATATGTATATACATATTTATAAATTAATTATTTAACAAAAAAATAACTAAAATAAAATTTTCTTTGTTGACCTTAAGTAAGTGATTTGACTTAATTTTTTTTTTTATATTACTTGTTAAAGGTTAATTTCCTTGAAGGATGGATCATATTCCATACTGTGCCCTTTAAGTTTAATAATAATGGGGAAAGTTGTCATGTCGCAAGTGTAAATTTCGTCGCCTGACCTGACTGCCCACAAATCTGAATCAGGAGGAAATAGACTGCTGTGAAAAAATTCTACACACAAATTCGATTCGTGAATTCATTCTACTATCTGTCAATGGTGAAGTTTAGTGACCCAGTGTCGTCCTCATCACTTAGGCTCAAAAGGACAGAGCCATCAGCATCAGTTCTCATGTTGCTTTGATTTCGTTTGAATTTTATTAACATCACTTCTTAAAGCAACACAAAAGCTACAGGGACGGGATCTCGCCATTTGAATTGGTCAAATGATGAGGACGACACTTGAGCCACAGTACACCACTTTCCAAACTTCCACACCACGCTAACGCTTTGTTTGAGAATGCTCTCCAAATTTCATATATTTAACATTATACAAAGTATAGTGATATTTGAATTATAAACGTGCCTTCAATACAAAAATATCTTTATTTTAAAATCCTCCTTTAAACAAGCATAAGCAAGATCAATGAAACTTCCTGTTCTGGATTTATATTAACTTAATATTTTTTACTTTCCTATAGTATAATTGTGCTACTGACAAATGTTATGCTTTTTTTTATTTATAGATGAATACTCAATTTTAGAATAGCAGCAATGACAGTGAGGCTATAGGATATCAATTTCATCGGTTTGAATGTAACACAAGCAATACAAAAGAAATTTAAGTCAATTCCTACTTAGGTCAACAAAGAAAATTTTTATTTTAGTTACTTTTTATTAAATAATTACATTTAATATAAATATGCATATACATGTGACAGAATTAACTATTCTAATAAAATAGTATAGTAAAAAAGAAATCATATTCTCAGAAATGAGGCCTTTCCAGGTGGAATCCAATTACACAACCTTTGGATTAGAAGTCCAACGCGCTATCCACTGCGCTACAGAATTGAATAGATGAACAGAAAGTATTTTATTAACCATTGAAAATTTGAATAAGATACATATATATACACTCTGTCGCAAAAAAAATATATGCACCCAGAAGAAATTGAGCTACATTCACGAAATTTGAGTATGCATGTAGTGTATATGAAAATAAACAAATGATTAAAAATTCAGAACAAAATTTCATTTTATTAAGCGGTTACAGCTTGCAAAAGGTTAAAAATCAGTAAGTAGTAAAGCCACCTCTGGCAGCTATACAAGCCGAAATTCGGCGTGGCATCGATTCAATTGATCACTTATGACCCCCTGTGGAAGATCCTGCCATAGTCTTTGCATCTGCGCAGTTAATTCTCCTGTATCTCGGGACGGCTGCAGTTGCCTTCCCAGCGCGTCCAGACATGCTCTATTGGCGAAAGATCTGGTGACCTGGCAGGCCATGGTAGGACGTCATATCCTTGAAGACATTGTTGGGAGAGTCGCGCAGTATGTGGACGAGCATTATCCTGTTGATAAATGGCACCTGGGCGACTTGATAGCATGGGTAGCACAATCGGCGTTAAAATATCGTCCACGTATCTGCGAGCTGTCAAAGTGCCTTGAAGGACCACTAAAGATGATCGTGTGTCCCAAGAAATTGCTCCCCACACTGTCACACCTTGTGAAATTGCTGTATGCCGCTCGACAATAAATGCCGGATCGGACCGCTGGCCGGTGCGCCTCCAGACACGTGTGCGGTGGTCATCAGCAATGAGACTGAATCGGGATTCATCACTGAAGATGACACGTCTCCAGTCTGTCACACTCCAAGTTGCCCGAGGTCGGCAAAAATCCAGTCGACACTGCCTATGATGTGGGGTCAGTGGTAAGCGTCTTAGCGGACGTCGGCTCCCTCAAGCCAACTTCGGTCAGTCGTCTCCTTATGGTTTCTCTTGATGGCACTGGATGTCTGGAAGGAGGTAAGTGGCGTTGAATCGATGCTAGCGACGTTGTAGGTGCCGAAGTGGCCACTCTTCTGATTGCACGATCCTCGCGATCATTTGTGTTCCTGGGACGTCCTGACCCTCTGCGACGGTACACTCTACCTTCTGTGATCCACTGTTGCCAACACCGAGCAACTACCGTATCGCTCCGACCGAGGTGGCGGCCGATACGTCTATTCGACCAACCTGCTTCTCTGAGGCCTATTATACGGCCCTATCAAAGTCCGTCAGCTGCTCGTACTGCCGCCGGTTACGTCTTAGAGGCATCCTAAGTCTCAATATCGTCTATCAAAGTCATCAGATTCGTTTGGATAGCCGTACGGCGCTCGTACTCATGCTTTTAAACTCTCCCAGTTGCGCAACTAATATGCGCATAGCACACTTAGCCTTGTCTCATTGGCTTCGAAATTTTAATCATTTGCATATCTCTTACCAGACTACATTCTTGCCGAGTTTCGTGATTGTAGCTTGATTTCTTCTGGGTGCATATATTTTTTTGCGACAGAGTGTATATATATATATATATATATATATATATATATATATATA